ACATCAAACCGTTCAAATTATTATTATTGTTATACTTTATTCTCAAATTGTTAATGTTAACAACATCAGCATTGCGTGACTATGAGTATAGTGTGTATAAGCGAGTTTTCTGTCGATTCTGTCGAATTTCATATTAAGAAATTCTTTTAACCCAAAAAGCAAATTATGCTCCCTTCGTCTTTAAAATCTTTAAAATACAAATCTTGTGTAAGGCTATCTGTAATCAGAAGCACATTTAAAACTGGAATATAATTTAAATTAATTCACATGTGTTTCATAAACACATAATCCTTTCTGGATTACAATCCGCCATCAAAATGATAAATGTAATTATTCCAGCTGCTGTGAGAAAAGGCTACAAGCGATCCTCCACCTGCAGCATCCTCACATGTGATAGCCTAGTAGCCGGGACAACTTCTTTATGTTTACAGACGTGACGTAATGACGCAGTGCCATGCTCGAATTTCCTGCGAAAACCTACCCATACCACTCAAATTAGAAAACATCAATATAAGCTAACTGTTGTGAATCGGGCTAAAGTAAGGCGATAGTTTTGAACACTGGCTGGTTATGTACTTGCTCAAATATTGATTTCGGATCATTTTTAACCAAAAAAAGTTACGGACTGCAGCTTTAATGTTGGTACTGCCATTGCTGGAAGAAATAGCGCTGTCTGCATTATCCATGTCTATTTGGCATTCACAAAACTTACACCATAGATGTCGAATTATAACCATTTACAGCATATCTTGCCTTTAAGCACTGTGCTCACATATTCTACTGAACAGTTTGGTGAAAATCAGAGGAGGAGCAAAGGTAGTGTGAATTTTTACTCTCACGCCAGGAATCAGTGACATCTCACAGGGTTAGGCTGCGACTCTGAGATGCTAGATTACATTAAATGCTATGCAACCAGGGGCATGTTGAAAGGGCAGCTTTTACAGCGGGGTAATGGAATTTAATTCAGGTCACATTGGTGCACTGCGGTGTAATTATATTAAACAAAGAGGTGCCCTCTGGTCTCTGAGCAGCTAATCTGCCCTACTGTCACCCTTCATGGCTCCCTCACCTGCGCATGAGCCTGGAAGAAAAACACAATTGTTCGTCATTCAAAATTGAATTGTGAATGGCTATTAAAGTCCATTCAATTGCTGGATTTTAATTGAGCTAGCAAACAAGATGCAGAATTGAAATTTGAATTTTTATGGTACTATTTACTATTACTAATACTATTTAAAGAAATATTATTAAAGTGCAGTGAAATTAAAATAAATGTATATAACTTCAGTTTTGCCACTAGGAATGATCAGTTAATAATGTATGGGGTGTTTTACAAAGAACAATAAATTCTATAAAATTATCAATGTATGATATTTAAATATATCTATCTATCTCTCTCTCTCTCTCTCTCTCTCTCTATATATATATATATATATATATATACTGTAGTATTATATTTTTTATTATTGACAATGTCATAGACCATGATGGAAAAACTCCATCCAGCTCAAAAAATTCAAAGGGAACCAATTCTTAAACTGAAAAGATGGTTCAGCCAAAGCCACCAACTACTAGTCATAAAGCCTTAGACCCTCATTCTACTCAGAAACTGTTTATTTAAGTCTCTCTCTTGTTCCTCTGTGCACCATAAAAAAAGTTGCCTTTTTCAGATGTTTTTTCTCTAAATTATGAAGCCCAGAGATGATTGTAGACAGTAGATTTGGGGCCGGAAAACCACAAAAGTGATTTCAGAGCACTTAAGTGTGTTCATAACACCACAAGAGCATGTTTCCCTGCTGCCTGCTGCGCGTGACCTTGTTAAGCGTCTGTAAGACTCACCAGATGGGAAGCGGTTCATCAGCATGGCTCATAAAAGCACATTTTCACACTGGCCTCGTGCATCATTCTCTCCCTACGTGTCTCAGAACTGCAAATGAAACCACCTTCTCAAAGGAAAGCAAAAAGTGTCTATTTTCTTCCAACATCTCTCTCTCTCTCTGTCTGTTTACAATTTAAGTAGAGATGACATACTAGAACAGACATCTTTAAATGAACAAGTCTGTAAATGCTCTAGCTTGTTTCCTAATCTAGTTTTCTAATAAATATGATGTTGTATACTATGAATATTCTTGGCTCTGTGCTGAATTGCTTATGTTACTCTATTAAAAAAATCGCTTTGAATAAGTGTCTGGTAAATGTATAAATGTAATGTAAATGCTAAATCTACGAAAGATTGATTTTTTGAAGCTAATTACAAATTAATGAACAAATGTGACTCACTAAAAGACTTTTTTAAAGACATTTAGTTTGCCATTTTAAAGGTTAATTTGGTATCAGTCCAATCTGTCACATAACATTTAAAGGAATCGTTCACCCCAAATGGCAATTTGCTGAAAATGTAGTCACCCTCAGGCCATCCAAGATGTAAATGAGTTTGTTTCTTCATCATAACAGATTTGGAGAAATTAACCATTTTATCACTTGCTCACCAATGGATCCTCTGCAGGGAATGGGTGCCATCAGAATGAGAGCTCAAACAACTGATAAAAACATCACTATAATCCACATGACTCCAGTCCATCAATTAACATCTTATGAAGCGTAAAGCTGCATATATGTAAAAAACTAATCCATCATTAAGCCATTTTAATTCATCCACTTCTTGTATTGCCTGAGAGTAAGCTAATTTTCATTTTTGGGTGAACTATTACATTAAAATATCTGTAAGATCTTTGTATTTACAGCAAAGACATCTGTGTAATTCTCTAGAAAGGGAATTGCTTTTGTTTTTTCATTTTGTTATACATTGGTTCAGCATCAGAAAAGCCTGTTTTTTCCCGCACAGGAGTGGATCTACACCCATGGACAGCAAATCCGCCAGCAGCAGCATTGTCTGTCTGTCTCCACAACTTTTCCTGCCTCCCAGATCCTGCTCGTGCCGTGCAACATCAGCGACGGCAAGCAGGTACCTCCACTGACGAGAAAGCAGGAGACATCCGTGACAGACCATAAATCAGGCTGCACTTAGAAAGCTCCTCTGGAGGAACCCACTGACATCAGCTCTATGAGTATCAGTCCCAGCGTTAGACAGCCCCTCAGGGAGAGGCTTTACTCTCAGGCCGATGTCAGCGTTTCCATACGTCACATTTGTCATGTCAGTGTCAGGGACGTTCGGCATACTGTAGCATCAAAAACAATCACTGTTTGTTGTGCAGGGAGGCGTACATATAAGTAGATATATGTGAAGTGTGAATGTTTACTATACATTACATGCAAGATATTTTATGCTGTCCGCAGCTAATGTGCACTTACACATGTGTTCATATGCCCTGTGTTCCTGCAGCGTTGGCAGAAATCTGGCACTCACCTGGAGCACCTGGCGTCTCGTTTCTGCGTGGACAGCGAGATGGCTCTGGACGGCATCGAGAGCAGTAAAATGCTGGTGATCAGCCCATGTGAACTGTCAGCACACACTCAGAGATGGGAGATGCCTTTCTCGTGATCCTTCCTCCTTGGCCTCTCCTCACCTTTCAGAGCTCAGCTGGAGTCAAAGATGGATAGAGAGGCAGAGAGAGTGAGTGTGTACCTCCAGGAGGGGCTACATCTGTGTCCTGCTGTTCTGCTATGTCCACCCCCTTTGTCTCTTCGGCACACCCCAGGTATTGCGGGACGTTCTGATTCAATGACATGACCTCATTACTGCCGCTATATTAATGCTACATTCTACATTATGGGTTTGTCTGATAAAAAAACAAGTGCTGTCAAGTGCTGAAGGTAACTCTTAAGCAAAACAAACTCGAGTGAGCTTTAGAGATAATCATGCAAATACTTAAAGGTGAAGTGTGTCATTTTCTAATGGTAATATTGTTTCCTATCCCAGTTTAATATGAAGAGTCAACTATAAGCAAACTGCTCGTTGGCTGATTCCCCTAAAGACAATGTGACTGTCAAAACATTGCTCTGTTTGTTTGAGCATCTCAAACCGGGTCGCATTTCCAAAAAGCATTGTAAACCTAAGTAGTAGACTGTAGAAATCAGTGGCACCAATGGTCTGTGTGATCAACTGAGACTCACAATGCTTCTGGGCAGTGTCGTTATGGTGAACAAAAACTATTAAACATGGTTTTCATTAATTGAAATAAAGCAGAAATAAAATAGAATATGCATATTAAATGAAAAATTCCAACTTAAAAAAATAAAGTAAAAAATGAAAGTACTAAAACTGAACTGAAATAATTAAAACACAAAAAACAATACTAAATTAACACTGCTTCTTTGAAATGCAGCCCAGCCTGACATAGCAACAGTGGCTCAATCATTGGGCAGGATATAATTTTTTCATAATAATTCATAATTTTTTCTAAACAATGAGTAAAATTGTTTACAAATAAATGCCATTATTGTTTTAATGTCATAATTATATTTAGCAGCAAAGGAATTATACATTTCACCTATATTTACTTTAATCTGTGTTGGAGGAATGTTATTTTTAAAGGGGTCATAGGATGCTACATGCACTTTTACAATTTGTTTTAACTGAAATGTGTGTTGGCAGTGTGTGTACATAACCACCCTATAATGATAAAAATCCACCCAGTGTGTTTTTTTTTATCTGGTTAAATGTTTTCCCCTTTAGTCTCTCTGAGAGCGGCTCGGAAGAGAGGGGCGGGGTCAACAGAGCTCATTAACATTTAAAGGAAAATGCTACAAAAACGGCTTGATCTGAAAAGAGCTGTTTTTGACAGGGTAAAAAAGGTGTTTTTTACACTACCATTGAGAAATTTTAATCAAACTATGTTACAGAATTTTCATTAAGACCCTAAAGAATCATATCAACTTGTGGAAAATGGGCATCCTATGACCCCTTTAAACGTATATTTAAGTATGTACTTCGAATAGAAAGCAATTAATTGTTACATTTTTTACTTTTTTTATTACAGTAGTTACTTTTGTATGGAAGCCCGTTTCTGCCACTACATAATTTTATTTATTTTTTTTAAGTAATTGCGGCTTTCGAGCTTTATCTTTGAGCTGTAACTTTTTCTCTTATCGGATGGCTGAGACTCCTCTTCCAAAACATCAATGTTGGGCTTGGCTTTTTTTTTACTTTCAAAGTGTTGTTTTTTGCTGTGTTTGTCCTTCTGACAGTCTTGCAGTGTAGACAACTTCATTGATTATAATGGGGGTGGCCTAGTTTTGTTGCTTTGCATCATGCCATCCGCTTGCAGTGTGGACACTTTGTTACACACAATGGACAAGCCTTGACTGCATTGTGGGGAAGGAAGAGGGTTACTTAAAAAGTAACTCAGGTATTATGGTATATTATACATGTAAGAAATATCACATAACCTTGCTTATTATGCCCTAAATGTGCAACATGCATAATTTGTAAAAAAAAAAAAAAAAATCCGTACAAATACAATCTCAAGTTGGAAAAAAATACATCCATAAATGTATAGCTTATACTGTATATAAAAATGTAATCCTTCAAAAAGGCATCTCAGTAGACAATAATGAAAACCTAATCGGACAGTATTTTTAATGTTTTGGACACACCCTCTATCTTATATTTCAAAAACTGATAAGCCTCATACTAAAGTTTGACATACATGCATAATAACCTACCCTGTCTGCCTGTATGTGCTTTGGCTGATCTTCTCTTCTGTCTTCCTCCCTAGGTTCCCCAGAGTGTCAATCATACTGATGCTCTCCAGAACAGAGTTTGGCAGCTGGACGCACACAAACTTGCGGGACACACACCGTGTGTGACACACAGACTCACACTGGAGAACGGCGCACAACCTTTTTATTTGTTTCGCTTGAATTTACCCCGATACGAAGCACTTGTGAGATACATCTGCTAGCACATCGACATACAATAAATACCCTATTTTTTCTTAATGGCCTGCTACTTGCGTTTATTCCTTGTAGTCTGGTTGCGCAAGTAAACCGTGATCAAAGTATATTTAAGGTAGTTGTTTACATGATCATCAAAAGTAGATGAATCCCAAACGAATCGCACAGCCAGCCTGCTTTAATTAGCATGTCAGCACAACCTCATTAGTCCATAATATAATGGCATAGCTGCTGCATGCAGTTGCAGAGAGCAAACTTCTGCTCTGCAAGCGAATGAGCTCAAGATGGGCAGGAGTGCTTTGTTCTCATGAGCTCTGCGGTCGCTGCTGGCAAGTGGAGAACTGAGACTGTTTGCCTAGAGGATCTAAATAAAGCACAGCCACATCGCCACACATGCCCAGGCGACAGGACAGGGAGGATCCAATTACCACTTCCTCAGTCTGTCCTCCTCTTCTCATTAGAAGGCTGAGCTCTGCAGGAGCTGGGAGAATACTGAGACTCAGACGTGGCGCAGCTCAGATGCCCTCATCACTTGCTGTAGTCTGGCTGCCTGCACCCGGCAATTACATCCAATTAGGTTGTGGTGTTTTCTTACATAGCCCTTCCTGATGCTGCAGCGATTTCACCACCGTTTTTTCTTGTTGAACTCCTCGGCGCTGCAGAGTTTGAACCTAATAGCTTTGAAGAATAAACCACTGAGTCGTTATTTGATTCCTGACATTCTAAAAGTGTGTGCTCTGAATAGTCTGCACGAGTCTCCACATGCCTACTTTATTTTAGTGAGAATGAGTCATTATGAGGGAAAATCAAGATGAGAAGGGTGAGAGCAGAAAGATTTGTCTCAGACGTGTTATCTAATGATATGTGTAGGAGACCTGCACTAGTCAATACAATGCAGTGGAGTCTATTTTTAGGGAATCTCGGAATCCTGGTGGTTTCCAGCAGAAGAGATTCTTTATGTTTTAAAAATCATTATATCAGATCCCTTTCTGTGACCTACAAATTGCTTCAGCGGCACTGTAACTGTAGTGCTTTAAAGCTGAAGTGTGTCGTTTTTTTGATGTTATAAAGTACTTTTTATTCTTGCTTAATGTGCAGTGACAATTATAGGCCATTTAAATGTTGATTTCTTTGAAATATGTAATCGCTGTGGCTCTGTGGTGGTGCTATCAAAATGTTCGTCGTCGGCTCACAATCATCCCAGTACAGCAACATTGGCTCAACCAACAGAGTTCAACAGCTGGGTTCCAAGAGTAAAAGTCCCAATCATTTTGATTGATTTTTAACGATAACTTATAAACTGGTTAAAGACATACAGACATACTGTGCACTACAAGGTTGTTAATCAACTGTATATTATTTTGTGGAAGCCGTCTGTCCACACTATTTCACCTTATTTTTTAAATAATTGTTTAACAGCCGAAGTCCTGGTTGAAAACCTACACTACACATGATTCTGCAAAGAAATCACTTGTCAGGCATTTGAAAACAAGCTAATGTAGCCAAAAGAACATTTTAGCACCCACCCACTCCCATGAATCAATGCAAATGATATAAGCAAGACAAAAGTCTCACTTTGCTAAAAAAAAAAATATAACTATTTGTGTATATATATGCACATTTTGGAATAAATGTGAAAACATTTTGATATTTATATATCATTTTTATTTGGATTATGTCAAAGCTGTAAAGTACATGGTCTTGTACCTTTGCCTTTTGTCCAATTTTCAAAATGTTTTGCTTCAAATCAGAGTTTGTAATGTTGTGATCCAGCTGGTTGGTTTGGTTCTTGGTTTGTAACTGTCTAACTAAGACTTAAAAATCCCTTTGGGAAAAATACTTCCATAACCGAGGTCACATAAAAAGTGGGCGGGCACTCAGTGCAGGTTAGGGGTCTTTTTTCATCCAATAAGAGACGGAAGCAGTGTTCGGAACATTTTTTTTTATCTGGCAAGGCTTGATTCCACATGACCAACTCGAACTCATTCGCTGTGAGCCGAAATTAAGGTTGAGTGGATTCCCATTGAAATGACTGCATTTCACCTGCTAAATTTTGCTGAAAAAAGTAAATGTGACTACACCCTAATATTTGCTGGCATTACTTTATATCACTCGTATTACACTGCAAATTCGCTTTCTCTCTTACTTCATAAAAATGCAACTTTTTGCATCTCAGTTAACAAATGTAGTGAAAATGCAGCACAATCTTAAGCATTAATATTACTGTAATATGTTGCTGGGCCAATTGTTTTGTACATTGTAGTGGACTATTTTTCTTAGCATGAGCTTTAAGATAATTACACACTTCATGTCTCAAAATGTCCAGTGTGTTAAGCTTTAAACTTTTCATGGCAGAAAGAGGAAACACTGCATCACCGGAGGGCTGGAAACTGCAGCTCTGCATTAGCCTGATAAAGACAAATTCAGTGTCTCTCTGATGCTAAATAGAGAGAGCAGCCCCTGCCACGACCTTGAGCATCATTCACCCAAGGTGGATTAACTTCCACTGTATTGAAGGAAAGGGGCTGGAGTCCAGATAGAGAAACATATTAACCAGCTTTATTGTGTCTCAGTGGACAACAATTACTCCAGCCTTGGCATCACATGAAATGAAATGTAATCACTGAAGAGCAGCAGCAGGTGTTTCATTCCTCTTGTAAGTTTGCAGTAATCGACAGAAAGGCTTTTGTCTCCATGTGCATCCCTCTGTCTTAGAGAGATTTTCCTGTCTTGAAGACTCATGGTGGGGGGGGTCATCATTATCCAGCTCTCAGAATGGCTATCAAGGGGCCACTAGCAAGCTGCTGCTGTAGGTTATCGCAGCCAGTGACCAAATAACTCAAAACTACAGCCCTACCACTTATACTACACCGCTGGGTGCTTCACATCACACAATATAAAGAACATACAGATTTGTGAATAGAGATTCATTTTAGTTTGGTTCGTTGTGTTTTTTTGGTTTTTAAGCAACCATAATGCAGGCTGCAAAAATGGCTCGTCTCGTAACAGCTACATATTATAGTTAGTGCTTCTAATTAAAATGTACAGTTCCTGGGTCAGCACATTTGTACACATTTGTTTGTGTAACATTTCATAAAAGCATAGGAAACTAGCTCTGCCTCTAAGCAGCCTTCATTTTTTGGCTGACATCACTAAATCTTAACCTGTTATTGCAACTAACGCCCTTTTCATGATCCAATCAGTTTCTGATGGATAAAATTAAGTCCTTTCCTATTTATTGATTGATTTCTTTTGCATTGAATATCCAGATTCACTTATTGAGAAAGTAAAACGGGTTGGGAATCCTGTCATGTTGACTATTTTTAACACAACTCGTTTGGCAAAATCAAGACGTGCCTTTTACCGGAGTCTGAAAAACACATTTAGGCCCTGTCCACACGAACGCGGTAATTTTTAAAACCGCAGCTTTTTCTACACGGTTTGGCCGTTCATCCAATTTCACTGAAACCGAACATTTTTCACTCCTGCCAGGGTGAAGATTTTGAAAAACTCCGGTTGCAGTGTTATCGTGTAGACAGCGAAACCGGAGATTTTGGCTTTTTCAGGCTTCTGATTGGCCAACATGGCTTTACGGTTGAGATTATATCTCCACCTGTTGGTTTGGCATGCACTTGACAGTGCTTCATAGCATGCGTTTGCGATTTCATGTGGACGGAGATTTTTTTAAAAACAGAAGAAGGAAAAACTCAGTTTATAAAAATGCCCGTGTACGTGTGGACATGACCTTAGAGGTCATTTTCAGATCATGCTCGCTTTTCAAGATGGCTATATTCAAAATCAAAAAAGACACCAAGAAATGAAGGTATGCCAGCTATTCTGGGACTAATAGTT